GCCAGAGGTGGTGCACAGACTTTTCCAAGTGTGGGGAACTCCCCAGGTGGACCTGTTCGCGACTCAGCAGAACCATCCTTGTCCCTGGTTCTGCTCTGGGCGGGCTGGGACGGGGCGCTATCTCCAATGCCTTCCTCCTGTCCTGGTCAAGCCAGTTTCTCTATGCCTTTCCCCCGTTCTTGCTGATCGGCAAGGTCCTGGAAAAGATAAAGTCGGACAAGGCTCGGGTCCTTCTGATGGCCCGGCGTGGCCCAGGCAGCACTGGTATGGAACCCTCACTGGCTTGGCGGTTGCCCCGCCGTGGCCGTTGCCATCCCGCACGGACCTGCTCTCCCAGGACCAGGGCTGCCTCCTCCACCCCAACTTAGCGGCACTCCACCTCATGGCATGGCTGCTCAATGGTGAGGTAGGGAGGAAAGGAAGGGGTTCAGCGCATCCTTCTAGAAAGTAGGTGCCCTTCCACGCGCCGAGCCTACTTGGCAAAGTGGTCTCAGTTTTCCAGATGGGCGGATGAGCGGGGCGTTTCCCCGGTGGCCGCTCCAATCCAGCTATTCTGGGCTACCTCCTTCACCTTAGAGCCCAGGGCCTGGCGCCCTCGTCAGTCAAGGTGCACCTGGCGGCCATATCGGCCTTCCATCCGCCAGTGCAGGGCCACACAATATTCTCCCATGCTATGACTGGCCGATTCCTTAAGGGGTTGGTTCATCTCTTCCCGTATATTAGGCCCTCTGTCCTGCAGTGGGACCTAAACCTGGTGTTGGCCCGTCTCACGGGGCCCCCGTTTAAGCCGCTAGCCACGTGCTCCTGGTCACACCTCTTGTGGAAGGTGGCCTTCCTGGTTGCTAGGCAGGTCTCGGAACTCAGGGCCCTGACCTCCAAGCCCCCCGTACATGGTGTTTCATAAAGATAAGGTCCAGCTCCGCCCACACCCTTCGTTCCTCCCGAAGGTGGTCTCCGCCTATCACATGGGTCAGGACATTTTTCTGCTGGTCCTCTGCCCCAAGCCCCATGCGTCCAGTGAAGAGCGCCGCCTCCACATGCTGGAAGTGAGATGGGCTCTGGGTTTCTACCTAGAGCGGACTAAGCTGTTCAGAAAGTCCTCGCAACTGTTCATCGCCTCAGTCGAGGGCATGAAAGGTCAGCCAATCTCCACTCAGCGGCTCTCCAACTGGATCATCTCGTGCATCCGTACCTGTTATGGCCTGGCGGGAATCCCTCCACCACCAATTGTGAGGGCACACTCGACTCGAGCGCAGGCCTTGTCGGCTGCCTTTTTGGCCCATGTCCCCATCCAGGACATTTGTAGGGCTGCTACGTGGTCTTCAGTTCACACTTTCACCTCGCATTATGCAATCGTCTTCCAAACCAGGGAAGATGCCGGGTTCGGCAGGGCTATGCTCCATCCCAAGAACATGTGAACTCCTACCCACCTCCAAAAGATATAGCTTGGAATCACCTACTGTGGAATACGCACAAGCAATCACTCAAAGAAGAAAAGACAGTTACCTGTTCTGTAACTGGTGTTCTTTGAGATGTTTTGCTCATGTCTATTCCACATCCCACCCTCCTTCCCCGCTGCTGAAGTTGTCTGGCAAGAAGGAACTGAGGGTGGGGGGAGCACGCAGCGCCCCTTATACCACGCCGTGGAAGTGCCACTCCAAGGGTCGTGGGGCGCTCCCCTACGGGTCCTGCTAGGGGAAAAACTTCTGGCACCAGTGCACGTGGTGAGCACACACACCTACTGTGGAATAGACATGAGCAATGCATCTCGAAGAACACCAGTAACAGAAAAGGTAACTGTCTTTTCACGCCCCAGGGGCACCTTCCTCTTCTAGTCTCCCCTCAAACTCCCTACGTGCCACCCTTCCATCCCCTCTATTTCAGGGACCCCCAGCAACCCATCCCTTATGCCAGGGATTCTCCCCCTATGCCAGGGGCACTGTGTGACCCATTCTACCCTCTGCCATGTGGCAGGGGCTCTGTGTGTCCCCCAAGCTATTGTCCTTCATTGTCCCCCTCATTCTCTGTCCTTTCTCCCATGTTGCATTCTTGCTCATACCAAGGTCTCCTATTTCCCCACATATCCTGCCAGAAATTCCCATGTGCTCCCTCTACCAGGGGCTCTGTGCACCACCCCACTTCCCCCCATATCAGGGGCTCCGTGTGCCCCATTCCACTCCACCATTCTTATTGCTCTTCTTTCTGATAAATCATTCAGGGTGTCAAAATCAAAAAGGTTTTGGCCACTGAAGCCTAGAACATTCCCTGAAATTTTGCACTTGATCAGATGCAGCATTCAAAAGTTATGTTACTGACAAACAAGCAAAAAGAGAAATGCCATCGAGCTGAGTGTAAGATCTCACTTTGCTCAGCCAACAAACTGCTGCAGCTCTCCTGTCGTGACACAACTTTTCAATCACACAAACATGCCCACCCATCAGCTTCTCCCTGGCTGCCAGTCTCCCCAGCAACTCCTCTCTGCCCCTCCCATTGCTCTAAAGTTCCTCCTTCACCATTTGTTTTCCAGCTTTTCTTCCCAAGCTGCCTCCCTGGCTTCTGCTGCCCCTTCCTTTCCACTATAATGTTCCTCTCACCCCACCCCATTTGCTTTCTTCTTTCTAGCTACAGCTTCTCTCTGCCTTCCTCCTCTTAGCTGGTCTTTCCATCTCTCCCCTGCTTCAGTGGCTCCAGCCAAGCACTGCTTCCCTGATGCAATTGCTCTTCAGCTGCCTCTTTCCCACTGGCCTTTCTAGTCCCACACCCAGCCTCACCCTGTTTAAATACCTCCTTACCCACCTCTCCACTACTAATCCTGCTGCTTCCCGCCTACTTCTTCCCTTCTCACTCCTCCAACTCTCCCTCATTGCAAAAGTTCCCCAGCCAGCTCTTACCACTACAGCTTCTTTCCTCAGCTTGTCTTGTCTTTCTAGCACTTCAGTGGCTTCCACACACACACACACCTCCTGCTCCACTTGTCTCTTCCTCCTCCTGTCCCTCTCCCACTACTCTTTTCCACCTACTTATCCCCCACTGCTCAGAAACACACATCCCTGATGAACTCAAAGGTTCCAATCCAATCATAAGAAATTTCTCTATTTTCCCAGCCTTTTCCTTACCCCCATTTCACTCCCCACATGACATCCCAGTTATCCTCCTTGCTTACTTCATGTCCCCTCCATCACCACTGTCAAGGCTCCTTCCCCACTCTGAACTTTACGGTACAGATGTGGGGAC